ACAGCCATGCATTTCAATAGGCTGTTGTGTTGACCTTTTACCACAAGTAAATATGATTCTTAACGCTAAATATGAAGAGTAAGTATTTTGACCTTTTTACACAAACACACATACAGTATATATAGATATAATTGTAGTATGCATTTGTTGCTTTCTGCCCCAAATTACTTTTTCAACTGTTAATTCTTTTCCAGACACCTCATTGTAGCTTTACACTGGGTTCAGTCTATCATAAAAAATTGGTGGTCTGAGCTCTCCACAAACATGCGTGATGGCTGTTCAAATGACAGGTCCTTAATTTTTATATGTATATATGGAAATAAAATAGCAGAACATCTAATAAATGTTTTCTGGGAGGTGTAACTGAAGATGTTTGCATCCAGCAGGAATGCTCAGGCAATGAAGACAATGCTGCTTGAACTGTGGGAGGGAAAGCGTCACTTAAGCTCAGTTCCAGGAACTGTAGGTGAAACGGCAAAGGTGAAGTGTTCTTAATGAAGTAAAAAATAAATAAAAGCAACTTTACACAAAATCTGTTTAACCTTTTTTCTCTTATTGGTCATCTTTTGCTTTTCTTTCGCAGGTTATAGAATCATATTTGTCACAACTGTGCTGATGTATCAATGTAGCACACTAAGGAGAAAACCACTACAAACTCTCGCATTTTAAGCTCTTTGATCGGCTTGGAGCTGATGAATCTGACGCTCGGTAGGCTGTGGTCAATTGGGGATAGATGAACTGAACAATTCAGACACTCCGATTTCAGCACTGGAGGAACTCTTCCTGCGGGCACTGAATGACTGCTTCACATTGAAGTGGACTTGCTTAGGGGCACATAATCAACTCCATGAGACTCTCTGGAATCAGGCGACTCACTGAAGTGCCAAGCAGAAGTTTTAACTGTTGCACTTGTAGTGCTATGGTGTGAATCTGCTTATGTGGATGTGATTGTGTAAGTGTACCTTTATTAGATGTTTTTTCAGTCATGCACTTGAATTGCAGGAGTTTTAAGTTATTAGCGTTTTGTTGTCCATTGCCCGATCATGAATGGATATTTGAGTGTAATGTGTACATAGTGATTTTCTTTTAATGAATTTTCAAATAAATTTACTTAAACTGAATGTGTTTTTTTTTCATCTTGAAATTTATATGAATATTTATATTTGATATACATGTTATTTAACTAAGATAAGAAATATTTCCCAAACATCTTGTGCAGGCACAACCACGATCACAAAGGTTGTGGATTGTGAGAGAAAAGGGTGGCTAAATAATTCCAAAAAAATAAGCCATGCAAAATTTGCGGACAAAAAAAGTAACTATTTTACAATAACATTGATGCAAAGATGATTGACGAAACCGTTCTGAACGATTCGTTTACGAGACTGACTGAACCGAGAACGGATGATTGAGTTGACAAATGATCCATCAGTTATCTTCGGGTCAATCACAGAAAATGCTTTTTCCACAATAAGAAAACTTTCTTTAATTTAATGTCAAAATAAAATTATATCTGCATAGTTATTATCTAAGAATAAAAAATGCAGATAGTCTAACTTTACGTGACAAGTCTGAACTTTGACGTCAATTCTTATTTAAAAAAATGTTTTAACTATCGAGATTTTAAATAACTAGAGATGTAACTTTTTGACCACCACCTACGTACAAACCACAGAAATCAGTTGATAAATGTATTTTTGTTTGTTTGTTTTTATCCATAAAAAAAAAACAGCTCACAGGTTACTTGCATTTGATTACAGTGCAGTGCAGTTTTGCCCTTCGCCAAATGGCGGACGCGTTGACGCATCTATGATCTATGCTCGGAACTAGATATCTATGGGAACGCCCATCAAAAGATCAAAAGCCCCGCCTCAACGATAATCACGTGTCACATGTTCTTCCGGTCTCTACATTTGATTTCCGCTTACCGTTTACTTCCTTCAGCTGAGTCCTTAATTCCTGTGGTCCATATTGACGCGTTGTGAAATATTGTGCATTATTGTTCGTCGTATATATCGTGTTACAAAGCACGATGCAATTCATTAAACGTCTATTAGATTTATATATAGCGTTGCAGGCTCTGTTTGCGTTGTCATGGGGTTTTTCTGACACAGAGCCGGGGCCCGTAGCAGGTTCTCAGTCGAATGGAGACCGTTTCAGAATCGAAGGAAGAGCTGTCGTTCCTGGAGTGAAAACACAAGACTGGATCTCCACAGCCCGAATCCTGGTGGAGGGGGAGGAATATATTGGGTTTCTCAAGTGAGTTAAATCGCCAGCAATCCTAACGTCAAAAGAGCGATGTAAATATGATTATGTATGTGTGTTGCTCGATTTACAGCTGCGTGTCTCAAAAATGTAAATGATAATCTCAATTATAATGGTCTTGCTAGAAGTATAGTATATATAATATAATGTGAATGAAATATAATGTGCAGCAGCTTATATGTCTTTGCAGGATCAATTCAGACTGGATGGGCAGGGCTTTCAAAACATGCTTTTATTAAACAAGGTTTTGCCTAGATGACACAATTAACCACATCAATTTGCCTTATAGGACTGATGGGAGCTTTGCTGTCAACGATGTGCCCTCTGGCTCATATGTGGTTGAAATTGTATCACCATCATTCAGATTTGATCCTGTTCGGGTGGACATTACCTCCAAAGGGAAAATGAGGTAGCTAACATCCCAAATTCTTCTACCTTTTAACATGATTGTCTATTCACGTCACCAATACCTCAGTTAATATCAAGATGTTGCTGAACCACAGGGCACGCTTGGTGAATTACATCAAAACCTCTGAAGTTCTTCGACAGCCATACCCTCTTCAGATCAGATCCAGTGGTCCACACACATACTTCATGAAGCGGGAAACCTGGGGGTGGACTGATTTTCTGATGAACCCAATGGTATGATCTTATGATTTCTGTGTTTGTGTGTGTGTGTGTGTTTTTATTATTATTTTTTTTAATCCCTTGAATTTTTGGTGATTTGACTGGAAATGTATCTGTCGTGGTTTCTTTTGTTTACTTATTCATGATAAAGCACAGCCTTTCGTACCTTATTGCTTACTTCATGCTTATAGAGATGACTTACATAGTTAAAGAATAAGTAATGGCTGAAGGGTGTTGTTAGGCACGAAGCGGAGTGAACCACTGCACATTGGGATTATATGGTTGATGATGTAGAAATAACAATTAGCAATATTTCTTAAACGTATTTATTAACAAAGCAAAGGTTAATGAATAAACTAATGTGAACAGAGACTATGTTTGATCTTAATGTAGTTGTAAATGGTGAGATTAACATGAACTAAGATTAAATGCTATATAAGTATTGTTCATTCTTAGTTTATTTGTATTATTTAACTAAGGAAATAAGGAAACCTTATTTTAAAGCGTTACCAGTGTTGCAAATGCACATTTTCAGGGCCATTTATAATAGTATGAATTATCTTTGACATGATATTTGTTGCTGATAGTTTCTAATACTTGTTGTGACTTCACTTTTAAAATGTTTTTGTTCTTCTTAGGTCATGATGATGGTCCTTCCTTTATTAATCATTGTCCTGCTCCCAAAGGTGGTAAATACTAATGATCCTGAGATGAGAAAGGTAATACAAACCATGCACAAAAACATGCGCTAAATGGACATATTCATACCCTGTATATTTCTTTATTCATACCATTTTGTGTTTTTGTTTTTTTTCATACAGGAAATGGAGCAATCTATGAATATGTTGAACCCTAATCCAGAATTGCCAGATGTTTCTGAATTGATGACTAAATTGTTCTCCAAGGGCTCCAGTAAGTCTGGTGGAGGGAACAAAGGCAGCAGAAGTGTTGCTCTGAAGAGGAGGTAGTGCCGTGTGTTTGGGATCTTTTTGTCGGGTTTTTTTTTGACACTGTTTTACTGGTTTTCTTCTCTTATTTTCTTTTTTTTTTTTTTATTAAATGAAACATTTCTTTTTCGACTGAAATGCTTGACAAAACAGGACTGTGTTTGCACTGTGCTACTTTTCCACGCTTAATTGTCTTCTTTAGCTGCATTGTTAATAATCAGATTATTTTAATCATTGTATGATACACTGAAAACTATACATAACATTTAAAAGTGTACAAGACCAGTACAGATAGAGCAAGGCATGAATTCATCTTTTTTAATATAAAAAATTGCTTAAATAGGATGTTTTAACTTTTAAAGTAGAATGAATGTGAAAGTAAAAGATTGGTCAAGATTCCTAGAATGGATTGTTTGACTGAGATATTCCGTTTTGGTGATACTTCAATATCTTGTCATGCAATTAACATAGTCTATGCTTTCACTGCTGCTGCATATATGTTTCATCACACAGATATGATTCCTTCTCAGAATTGAGGGCAATGCAGTTTCACCTCCTTTATGACTCGAATAAAAGCAAGAATGAATGATTTAAGTAAAATCTAACATATTGTGGCTGTTTGGCAGTTGAGTGCTTTGGGTTAATGCAAAAGCTGAAGTTTTGTTGCACTGATAAAGTCAGATGCAGAAGTTAGTACTCACTGTATGTAGTTGTTTTGCTCAGTTTGTCACAAGCCTTCTGGGATATTTCAAAAGCACATTTGAGCTTAAAGGTCAAGATAGATGAAAAAATCTTTCCATCTTTGCAGTGATGCCTTGTGTGTTTTCAGACCAACCTGAGGAGGTGACATTGACCCCAATTCTGTTTCATAACTACTTGAAATAAAGCTTCTAGGTTATAATATTTACTATATCTTGTTTGGTTTGTGCAGGACTGTGAATGAAGATGAGAAATGTGTACGATTTAAGCTATGAAGTAAAAACTTATTTAAACAATGGAAATAAACTTTGGTGGTAAATATCCTTAACCGTCTTGCTTATTTGCCTACTTTTCTCAGCATGTTGTTAAGATGTGTGGAAAATGAGATCAACATTAAGAAAGTTCATGATAATTGATTGATAAAACATTGCAAGTATGTCAGACTCTGTGGTAGTTGTAAAGCTTTAGTTTGACTAAAAACATTAGTGGAACCCCTGCGAAAGCCAGACTGATGAAATGTTTCAATTAATTGGGTGAATTTCATCTTTAAACATTTATTTCACAAATTAAATGGCATGTCATCACAACACAAAGAGTAGAGACTTATTAAACAACATGAATGGAAAACAGCCAATTAACATCCATAAATGTGCTTCTGTGGTGTATGTTAATGTTCAAGCGAGATCTAATTCATGGCACCACAAAAATGGATTTGTTTTCTATTCAAAATAAACCACTGCACATTGGGATTATATGGGTGATGATGTAAAAATGTGTAAATTGTGCTTCATTTCACATGATGTAATATTGGAATCTCTGCCATATCATGGATACTACATCCGAAGCGAAGCTGCAAACTTTTGTGTGCATCTCTACACAAGTGATGGTTTGCCAACTCAGAAATCTGAAGATCCATATTTAACACTGTCTAGTTATGCGAACATAATACAACAACGTTGCTTTGCACCCTAGATATTTCAATATTTACGTTTCTATGCATGCAGTGTCACTGACATGACCAAGGTGTACAATACATAATATTTAAAGTCATTCTATCACAAAATGTGTTTTGTCTCTATAATGAAAACATCACAGTCCATATCTTTATTTATTGTCTTCACTATCCCTGGCATTTAGACATCAGACAATAATAAAATTCACACTGCTATGTAAACATGTTAAATGATCATTAAATAAAAACAGATTAGAAGCTAAATAAAATATTAACAAATCATATTTTCAAACGATATTTATAAACTAAAATTGATTTAATGTTAGCCATCTCTGCTGTATTTAATGGTTTTGACCAGACCAGTACAGTTTCTCCTCTCCTTTATTTTTCTTCCATTTGCAGAGGAATAACATCCAAAAGGTCTTCTGGAAGGTCTTGTTGCATAGGGCGTAACACATAGGGTTGATGGTGCTGTTGACATAGCAGAGCCAGTAGCCCAGATGCCAGAGGGACACTGGGATGCATTTAGAACAGAAGGTGGAGATGAGCACCATGATGTTGTACGGGGTCCAGGTGAGGATGAAAGCCAGAAGGATGGCACTGAGAGTCTGTGCAGCCTTTTTCTCCTTGATAAGGACCATTCGTTTACGCTTGGTCATCTGGATCTTTAAGTTTGGATCTTCCGGTTTGGTAGAAGCCAAGGTGGACGAAGGAGCCTGTGGCTCTGAGGACTGACATTGATCTGTGTTTGTTCTCTCAGTCTCGGTACTACCTTGCGAAACGGTGATGTCACTAAGGATCGGTTTGAACTTGTATGACATGCATTTTTTATTGTTCGTCTGGGAGCATTTTGCCAGATCACTGAGATATTTGCTGTCTTCATAACAGTCCAGCTGTCCATTTTTATTGAGTGTCGACTCTTGGTTCTTAAAAGATTCTCGAGGGGTCATCTCAGAGACAGACCGCTCGTCATCTTCTGAGGATGTATAACTGTTCAAGGTGGTGACCTGGTCTGATTTGGTCCACAAGTCATCAGACTGCAACGTTGTCCTAGTTGCATAACTCTGGTTGGACGAAGACCATGACGCTTGAGTCCCGTCCCTCTTGTTTTTAAAGCTAAAGCATTGTAGGATTGGCTTTCGTGCTTTAGAGTCTTCGCGGCTGTCCAGCGATGGGTATCCTTGGAGTTCTGCTAAGTTCTTTGTGCGTTTCTCAGTTTCTTTGTAGATTTTGCAATATAAAATTGTCATGATGGATACCGGGACATAAAAGGCTGCTATGGCTGTACCAAATGTGATTGTGGGTTCTGAGAAAAACTGGATCTCGCATTGGTCAGGAGAAACCGTCCTCTTGCCGACAAAGTACTGCCAGCACAGAATGGGTGGAGCCCACAATATAAACGATATCAACCAGGCCAAGCCAATCATGATGCCTGCACGTTTCGGGGTCCGTTTAGCCCTGTAGGTAAGTGGTCTTGTAATGGAGAAATATCTGTCAAAGCTGATGACCAGCAAGTTCATCACCGATGCATTACTTGCAACATAGTCAAGGGCCAGCCACAGATCGCATGCTATATTCCCTAAAGACCAGTATCCCATGAGAATGTAGGATGTGTACAGGTTCATGGAGAACACGCCAATAATGAGGTCTGCAAAAGCTAAACTGAGTAAGTAGTAGTTGTTAACAGTCTTAAGTTGGCTGTTGACCTTGAAAGAGAGCATCACCAGAACATTCCCAACTATTGTGATGAGACTCACAACAGCTGACACTGTTGCAATGGTTATTACCTCCAACAGACTGTATGGGGCTGGCAGGACAGCAGAGACATTTCCACTTGCTGTTAAATTTTGAATATCCATGTCCATCCTGTTACTGCTGACAGGTTAGTAAATGCTGGATAAAGGTTGCACTGTATTCTTCATGCTTACTTGGCAAAGGATCATCTGAAAACAGAAAACAAAATTTCATAAACAGACACTTTAAACATGAAAATAGTACACTTTTCTAAGGCATTATAGGCAAAGCATTGTTTTTTTCATACACAATTCTTTCAGACCAGTGGAAAGAAAACATCCAAAATGCACATTCAAGAGCTCTTTTTGTGTCTGTTGATTTTAATTGTAAATACATGAAGGCTGTTCAGTAGGCATTTCAATAACATGTATGCACACCAAATTTCCAGTTTTATTCTTATGTAGTTTCTCAAGGTTTTTTAAAAGATTCAAAAAGATTCCTATAACCTTTTATTTAGAAAAACATGTTTTTTTGGGATCCATGTTGACAGTATGGATTAACAAAATGAAAGAATGAACCTAGCATTGTCTAACGTTCTGGTTTCATATTTTGGAAATTCATGCAAATGAGAGCATAATTAATTAAATTGGCATGTTTTAACATACATTTCAGAAAACTTGTAATATAGAAATTGGCCCAATTTCACAGACAGGGCTTAGATTAAGCTAGGATTAGTCCTTAGTTCAAAGACATTTATCCTTTTTTTAAACGTGCCTTAGATAAAAATAAAATCATTACTTATGTGCGACAAAACAATGACACTGACATATTTTAAGATACGTCACTGCAAGTTGCTTTAATTTAAAACAGCTCAAACGTGCATTTTAGTATGGGACTAGTTTACTGTACTTTAGGCTACTACCTTTTACAGCCCATTTTAAGCAAAGGAATGACAGGTCTGAATGGGATGGGAGCACCAGATCTCACATGCCCCTTCAAAAGAGCTAGTTTCACCCCTGCTTTTGATACTACTGATACTCATACTTTTTCTCCCAGTTCGACCAGTCTAAAGATGACAATCTCACATTCATGATTAGGCGGAACTATTTGAATGGGGGAACGTTTCTCCAGGGTTCTTTTTAAATGTAACAACTGTTGTGTTGTGTTACACGATTATAGTCTCGGTATTAGTTCTAATTTTCATATTCAGTTATGGAGAGTAGACATAGTCGGGGACGCGGTGGTCATTGGAAAAGAGGAGGTGGAGGTAGAGGTGAAGGTGAGGGGGTCACTGGCAGTTCGGGAGAGCACAGGGGTCGCGGAAGAGGGGGCCAGCATCGTGGAAGAGGCAAACGGGACCATCGTAGAGGAAGAGGGCGCGAATATGGACCTCCCGCAGACTTTAGAGAGTTTCGAGGAGTGAGTGTCACCCATACAAAACATCTCCATGATAACGAACCATATTTTCTGCCGAAATACCAGAGTAACTGTTACTAGTAGAATGCCATAATTACAGTAAGTTAATGATTACTATAAAACTCTATTTGACATAGATGCCATAAATATTAAATTTGAGAAAATAAAATAATGTCATGTTCATTAAAAGAGAGTGTCAAACTGTTTGAATGAGATTAATGGAAAATAATTGTAAACTTAATTTATGATAGTTCTGTAGTAACATACTGTATAATGTGTTGTTGGCAGTGGTTACTGTACTATTTGTCTTTAACAGTTAACTAACCATCAGTACTGTTACATGTTAACAGTACTACCATGTTAACTTTAATAGATTATTAGAAACCAACCTAATTTAAAATCAACAAGTATTTAATTATTCATTTCATTGTATGAATTGTGTCATGCTTGCTCACTGTCATAATGTTTCTGATTGCTTTTCAGAATCAAGATGACCATGACAACAAAGAAAACTTTGAGGAAGAAGAGGAGCACAACACCTTCTCTCGACGAAAGCTCAAGCCCAACTGGGACCGTTATGAGGAATCGGAGAAAGAGGAAATTAATGAAGATGTACCGACACAAAGAGGCACCGACTATCATGTCCTCCTCACATCAGCAGGTAAGACATACTGCCTACTTAAATCTGTGGAATATTTCCCACGTGCCTCTGATACTGGTCATGCAGGGAGAAGATCAAAGCTAAAATTAATGTAAAACAACGGTGGCGTTAAAAAGCTGAGAACAAAGATACTAAAGGTGACGATAAGGGCAAAATTATTTTTCTGTTGCATGGTTGGATCTTTTGAACCATGGATCTATGCAACCATTTACAGTCTATTTTATGCTGCCTGAATGAGAAGTTTGGGACTAGTAAAAATATTTTATTCAGCAGGTATGCATTAAATTGATCAAAAATGCCAGGAAAGACATTTGTAATGTTACAAAAGATTTCTATTTCAAATAAATACTGTTATGTTGTTGAACTTTTATCGAAGAATCCTGAAAATAATATCATGTGGCTTCAAAAATATTTGGCAGAAATGTTTTCAACATTGGCATTAATTAGAGATGTTTCCTGAGCAGCAAATCAAAATATTAGAATGATTTCTGAAAGGATCACGTGTCAATGAAGACAGAAGTAATGAAGCTGAAAATTGAAAAGCTTAGGTGAGCATGAGAGACTTCTTTCAAAAATATAAAAGGCTTCTGACCCTGTATTTTTCAGTACTGTATAAGCAAGTTAAAACATAATGTAAACATGATGTAATGAGTTTTCAGCAAATACTCATAGCCAAAGCAATACATGATTTGATGTTCTGCCCAGTTGCTTTTTTTTTTTTTTTGTAAGTGAATGCAGAAATTGTAGCCTACATTTTTTGTTCAAGGGCAATTCCCTGTACCTCAAATTTAACAAGCCTAAATTCTCTGTAAGAGCAGAATTAGTTTCCATTATGCTGTTCTCTTGAGGGAATTTTCTTTGCTTCTCATTTCCCTAATCTGCTTCCTCAAAAGCCACATTGATATTCATGAGATATATTTGTGGCATCTAATTTTACTACAGTGAAGTACTGCAGGATTGCACTGCCTCTTGTGGTATTGCAAAAGAAAGACCCTCGTGCATATCTGTGCAAACATACGTACTAGGAAATGTCCTTTGTCAGTTGCAATCTTTTTCTGTTTGTCGAGGCCAAACAGTTAAAGTTGTACTCCAAACGAAATTGGAGCACTTAATCTGTTTGTTGCTCTCTATTTTTCCCTGTGTTGTTCCCTGCATATTTACGATTAGTCATCAGAGGTTCAAACTCGCTGATCCCTGTGAATGTGGGTGGAATTTGTATCTGTTCTCCAGAACAAGTATTGTATCCATGACTTCAGGAATTATGTAGTACAGCTTTGCCATCATGAAGTGGTTGTACAGCACCATGATAACAACAAAAGAAATAGTTCAGTGCTTTGACTTGTCTGCTTTGATGAAGAATCTTCTGTATTTCGTATTTTATATTTTAACAGTAAAAAAAAGTCTTTACAAGTTTTGTTTGACTTGGCAAGATATATAAATATGGTCACACCTCTTGGACAAATATTGCAATATAATGACTTCAACTAAGTTATAAATAGAAAAATGGCTGTTCCGGTTTGTTCATCTCCATATGTCTTTCAAAGTTGCCTGACCTCCCCTACGAAACTCAGCTTGCCGTCTTTTATCCTATTATGATTCCGCCAGCAGGCCCTGATTAGTGTGTGTGGTGGTAACGGACTGATTACATGCCAAATGAGTGTAATTCAGCTTTCACCAGGAACACCCTTCAATTACCCTTGAGCTTTCTCTCACAAATGACCAAAAACTTAATCTGGATTCTTTAATGGGGTTGGTTTGCCTAGAATTAAAATTGTCATCATTTAGTCACCTTTAAAGTTCTACAGGTTTGGAACTACATGGGAGTGAGTAAATGACAGCATTTTCATTTCTTATTTATACATATTACACATTATTACACATATTACATTAAAACTGATGAGTTGTCTTCTTCATGACAGCAGGTGCTTGCACCTGTTCTGTTTGTCACCCACATGGTAGTTTGTAATCTATCAGTTTGAGTGTGGAAATCGTCATGCAGAAGAGTCATAGAAGACTTATTTTGTTTTCTTAACCATTCTCTTACACGGTAACACAGGTGTTACAATGTTATGTAATTGAGACAATATTCCAACAGGTTTGATTTACATTAGCAGCAAGATTGCTGTAATCTGTTGATTTGCAGCGATCTATTTTGTATGTCAAATTATGGTCCTTAGTAGGCGTATCTTTTAGGTTTTCACTGTGAAGAAAACTACGTTTGTCGGATTTTTCAGACAATTTGAAAATCAGTTTACCGAAAGGCTTCATGCTGTAGAAAATCTTTGATGTGATCATTTTTGTGCATATTACTCTCACAGATGGGTAATTTTATTTAGTCTAGTCTCACCGTTAAACAAAGATTAATCTGTCATAAACTCTTGATAACATCTTTAAATTGTGAATAGCATCATCCAGACCTTGTCACTGGCGGTGAACTTGTTGCTAGGGCCAGCATCATAGGACATTGCTCAAACATTGGGAGTCTTTTTTGGTCTCAGAATAACCCTGGAACTCGCATAGCTTTGTATCTTTTGTCACATCGGTGAGGCCATCCAATTTGTAACTGTTTTATTTTAAGAATGGAGTAGGATTTTTTTTTTCTTCATTCTATTCTGTTCTTCTTGTCATGGAATGCATTTTATGTTGTGTTTGTTGGATTTGTTAAATTGTTATTGTGGCATTTCATATTACATTACCATGAAAAGAGAACATAAAATGAATTAAATGAAAATCCACAATGAGAAAGAATGTGATAATTGCTATCTAGTACTTCGTATTACAAGGTAATAGTGATCTCCTTCAGATGAAATTGATGTGTAGAGTGTACAATTTCCTGCTTAAGATGCTTGAATATTTAAACATTTTGTAAACACAGCCATATAAGCTTTGCATTGATTTCTAGTTTCGGTAAGGAGTCTGTATTTTTAACACAATTGTATTTACAGGAAATGTAAAAACGAGTAGTGCATGCAAATATAATATTAATGGTGTAATATTTAGATTTAATATTACATTTAAATTTAATATCATTCATTTTACCCGACAATAAGGTTACATTTTTTAACATTGGTTAAATGCATTGAGTACCCTGAACTATTTTTACAGCCTTTATTAGTCACATTGCATTAATGTTGAATGTTTCAATTCAAACTTCACATATTAAAGTATTAGTATATGTAAAAAAAAAAAAAAAAGTAAAATGCTGTAAAAATATTGTTCATGGTTTTTTAATGATGGCTAATGCATTAACTAATGTTAGCAAATTCAACATATGTTTATTACACTGAATATCATAGCACATATAGATTTATTTGGCATTTTCCAAATTATTGTACTGCTTTTTATCCATTTAAATCAGCTTAGGGTAAAAAACATTAAATTAAATTAAATTAACATTAAAAATAATGTCTGTTTTTTTTTTTAATTATTGTTAAATGGGACAATAGACCCCAAAATGAAATGTCTGTCATTTACCCCCCCCCCCCCCCCATTTTCATTGAAACATAATTAATCACAATTAAAATCAGTGATATTTATTGTCTTTAATAATGTTGACCTAATATTCAGCCACCTAGTTTAACCAATATTAATTACTAAATTGTCTAATTATCCATGAAATATGTATTCAGTACTCACTGTTTTCATCTCTCAGCCTTGAACTCCATTTACAGATCTGGCTCGGTCACACTGTCACTCATCCCAAACCTTTACCTCTATTGTGAACTCTCACCACTCTGGAATCAAGTGTCTAGATGTTGCTTCTTCATCCAGTCATGAGCCTGTGCTTAAATTATAGAATCCTCAAAGTTGTAGTAAAATGATGTGCTCGGTTTTTGGATGGTTGTTAGTGCTCAAGGAAGTTGTGACGATTACGCCAAAGTCCATTGTTAAGCATCTCCTTTTCTCTGCGTGGTGGAGGATGATTGGGCAATGCTGCTGCTGTTTCTTTAGATGAATATGTGCTGCTGCCTGTGGATGCACTGACAGACACAGATGTGAATGGCTGGGAGGAGGTCATTCCCTCTGGGTTGGGATGATCGTCATGATTTGGGGCAGTGAACAACAGGCAGACGCCAAGAATGGGAGGAGGAAGAGGAGAAGAGCAGGGGGCTGAACCAAAGCAGAAATGAGAAGATGAAGGTTAGACCGTTCATGCTCACGTTGGAGACAGAGGGGCGTGTGAAAGGGTGGTATGATGCTCACTGAAACATAATGGAGGCATTAATTACTCTCTTTTGACACAGATAGAGTGGCTGCGAGCAAATAAGTGGGTGGAGATGATCGGTTATCTAGAAATACAGAAGTAAGAGGGTCAGTTAATGACTTTTTGTTGTGTCTGTATAGGAGCTACTTCAGCTCAAATCAAAGTAAAATCGTCCTCTAAAATAGTTCAACTTATTAAGGTGCCAGGTGAATTGATTTTTTTTTAAATGTTTCTCCCATATATTTTGAGAGAATATAGTTGTGTGTCTGATGTTCAACATGAGGTTTTCAAAAATCTTTAGTCATCCCAATATGGAAGTTAACCTTACAGTTACATTGGATTTGTTTCACTAGCTTCACCAAACAAACAATAAATAATATAAATAATTGTTTTATACAATTTCATCTGCCATTGGTTAGCCAAATGAATAGACTCCAAATTCAGACTCCTCAAACTCATCTTTAGTTGAGTCAATGCTACTGGTACTGGAAATAATAGGATTGAAATTGAAGTGATATATTTAACATTTACAAATTATGGACTTTTCATATATCCTTGACCATTTTGTTTGTTTATCTATTATACTGCTCAAAAGTTTGGGTTCAGTAAGATTTTTGTTTTGAAAGAAATTATATATGCATTAAATTGATTAAAAAAATGGCATGAACTATGGATAAATAGCATTTTAACTGTATACCTGTATATTAAAATTGAAAACAGTTATTACTATTGAATCACAATATTACTGTTTTTACTTTGGTGAGCATAAGGGACTTCATTTAAAACATGACAAAATCAAACCGACTTTTGAATGACAGTGTAATTTATTTATTTATTCATTTATTTTTGCACCTACACTATTTTAAGAGGTTAGCCTTAATGTTTATTTGAAGATGATCCCTCTATTTCTGCTCTCACAGCTGCATGGGTGCAATTAGTTACATCACAGGCCATCAAAGGAAGCCTTGAATGATCAATGAGAAAAAAAAAAAACAGATTCAATGCACACAGTACAAACATAAAGTTGCAATGGTAAGAGTGCAGGCCGCTCAGGAAATGAGTGACATCGTGCCCTTGCAAGTTGTGTCTCTGTGGATTGAGAACAGATCGACCAATTCAGGGTCATTTCTTTTGACACACTTTCCTTTTGTCAGCCATCACCTGTTTTTTTTTTTTTTTTTTTTTTGCAATGCCACAGTGCGATCACATTCTCACATCTTCATGTCTCACAGTCAGGTTGACAGGAAATGGCTTATGTTAGATAGTTCCATGTAGGGCAGGATTTCCAGGCCTCCAAGTTTATTGATCATAATGAGATCATAATGGAGGATATGAGCCATATCACGTACCCTGGAGGAGGACTAATAATGAAGGCCATAGATATACAGTGACACCGCTGTGTTCGTTTGCATCTGTGTGTCTGTATGTCTCCTCTGGGTCTCAGGTGGCTAGCAGACACAACTCAGCCCTACACGCTACATGCTCGGGTTACACTTGACAGTGAGAGCAGCAAATGAATACTAAATGCTGCTTGAATTTCATGACCTTGTTTAGCTGTGGACTGCACTTCGACCTGTCTGTGTCCCTGCAGAGAAGCAAAGAGATTTTGATTCATTACTAGTGACACTGCACCTGTAGGAAACCTTGCCCCCTCCAACTTGCTTTCCTATATTTCAGTACCTTGGACCTCCACCTGTGGCCCTGCTGCTGGCAGTTTCACCAGCTGGACCCTCCACAAATGACTGCACCCTGGTGGGACACAGCTCTCTAGATTGTCTCTCTTTTTCATATTCTTGGCAAGCAACAACCTACTGTATCTTGCACAGTGTCAGCCATTATAATACAACAACCATAGAACCTTTATTGTTTTTAAGCATCCTGATGTGTTTGTTTACATGCACTTTATAAGTTCAGTTTCAGTTGGCTTAAAGCAATAATTAAGCTTTTTTTATTTTACTATTACTAACCTCTCTGATTTTGGGAATTTGGACAAACAGACCTATATAATGTGATTGTTGGCAGCTCGGCTTCGTCCGGCATTTTTGCACTTTAAAGGAGAATATCTTCTTATTAAACGTTCTGTACACTTACAAAGTTCTCAATACTTCATTTTGCATGTATGGAGCCTCATTATGTTACTGTGTTAGTGTGGGGCTATTTTGAGCCTTGTTAGTGGTATAAACTAGCAATTTCTTTTTACTTAGTAAATGCCCCCATTACTAACGTTATACGCTAAACAGTTTTTAGAGAAATCTCTAAACGAATCTGTAAACGGCTGTAAACAAATCTCAGAGAATGGTCGACTAGGTACCAATGAGTTATTAGACCAAAGGTTCATTTTGCACCGGAGTTCTCCTTTAATTGGAATGCAAGTGGAATCAGAGTGGTTCCGCATGCTCTGAAAGGCAAAGGTCATGCACAACGTATTTTTAAAAAAAAATTTTAAATATTAAATTAATCAGTGACAAGGACATTATATTCTTCAATGGTGATTTAAAGTCTATATGCTACCAAAGATTTCCATTTCAAATGAATGTTCCTTTTGAACTTTCTATTCATCAAAAGTCTTGAAAAAAAACATGTTACACAGTTCATACTAAAATCTTGAGCAACACAACTGTTTAACATTGATAATAAAATGTTGCTTGAGGAAATCAGCATATTAGGATACTTTCTGAAGGATCATGTGACACTGAAGACTTGGGTAACTGCTGCTGACAATTCAGTTTCACAGGAATAAAATAAATGACAGTAGAAAACAGTTATTTGAAATTGTAATAAATTATATTACACTATTACTGTTTTTACTGTATTTTGATTAAAAAAGCAGACTTGGTGAGCATAAGAAACTTCAGAAACATTCTTCCCGTTCCCAAACCTTTCAACTGAATTAACATGCATTGCCAACTTTATTAATTGAATATCAATTATGGACTTTGTTTTCTCTGAATCTGAGCCTATTTGATTTAAGTTAAAGGATGCAAAAGGGATGTTGACTCCAGGCTGCTAAGTGTAATCACACAAATCGTGTTTTGTTTTTTTTTTCCAGCACAAACTGCTGTTTCTGGAAGAATGCTGCAGCAAACTTCACTTAAATGCTGAGCACCTGCGTTTTTGATTGTGCTCATACTGTGACTTTAGTCCCCTGCATCAAGCATTGGACAGTAATTATAATGCGGGGGTGTGCGTTTGCACCCACACAGAGTATCAGAATGTCATCTCTGTAATAATGTGTAACAGTAACAACCACTCTGTTAATGACTGTGTGTGTCTCTCTTCACACTCGCTCTCTTCCCTCGCCGCTGTTGTTTCCATAACACCTGTGCGATTTGCATGAGGCCTCTCTTTGTTTTAAAGCCATTTTGTATGCTTCAGACACCTTTATGAATGTTGGGACGAGCAACAGTGGCCACTTATTTCTAATCATTTCCATATTAGCGTTCCATATCTTTTTATCTGTCCACCATAACTTACTCCTTGTTTGTTTCCTGTGGCGATTGTTCCCTGTTGCCACATCACTGAAATATGGGAGCTTTTTTCAAAACCGTATTTACATGTTAAAGGTTCAAGTGACACTTTTGGATAAATATGGTTGTGTAATAATGCTAGCTTTTGACTATAAATAGCCTGAGTGATCTAATATTTTGTCCCCAATGATTCTGTTTTATAATTCTGCCAGGAAATGGTCCCCTGATTGTCCCTTTTAGTTCATGTATGCCCAGAGATGCATTATTTGGGGCAATGTTGATATGTGGGGCATGAAGTCCTTTGGCATTTGGTTTGAAGTGGATGTTTTTAATGGATGATGTCATTGAAACACCTCAGTTTATTCCTCTGTAATCTAGATTCTCTTATTATTAGTAGTATTATGTATGCCATGTAAATGGTACTCATGTTCACTATAGATTTCCGATTCAATGCGTTTCATTTCCAAAATTGAATGCAGTCAGACATGGGCAATAAAACCAAGTAAAAACATATACCTCAAAATTTAGATGATATTTAATTATCTAGTACAAATGCATTTTGATTTTGAATGTTTTCAAGTATTTCAGGTCTCTCAATGTTTATAATAAATGTATTATTTTAAGCAGTATAAACTAATGGATTTGTTACCATGAGTAAGTAATAAAAATATTACATAAAGAATACATCATTAATAGGGATGCACCGATATGAAAATTTTGGCCGATACCGATAATTCTTTATATTTGAAAGCCGATAACCGATCTATCTGCCAATAAACTTAAATCCAAATTTTTATCTAATTTTGAAAGTCTCACAATTAAATCTATGTCCCAAGCGCACAATTATAATGATGTTCTCATGATAGTGTTGTATAGCCGATATGATAGATTTGCGGTGCACATGTTGTACCGAAGCGTATTTTCATTTTTTGAAGAGATTTCAGTCATATTTCAAGAAATTTAAAAACATAAACATTGCTCAACAAGTGTCTCAGCTGAAGGGAATAATACATTATTTATCGGCTTTAATATATCGGCCACATTTTCATACCAGGCCGATAACGATAACATTAAAAATGAACATATATTGGCCGATACCGATATGCTGGCCGATATATCGTGCATCCCTAATAATTAAATAATATAAAAAAAAATTATGTTTAGTAATAAAATGGATGTAGCCTATTAAAGTTTTAAAATAGATCTTTTTTTCTTGTATAAATGAAATACATACTTTTTTCTTTTGAACATTTTTGTTTTCTTTTGTTAATTCTCACAGAAAAACATATATTATAACAATATACAACAATATTATATGACATGCTTTTAATAATTTCTATAAAATATCTTCCTCTTAAATATTGACATTGCTTTTTTAGTAGTTTCTGAAGCGGTTTCTGAGATGCGTTTCCTCTGTGTTCATCGTTTGGAAAAGCATCTCCTTTGATCAAGAGTAGCGCATTGAGTGCTTGATTCATCTCTATGGAAATAAATGACTCTTCTAAATGTCTTATTAAGATGAGCCACAGCTGTCTGCTAACCTGATGATCAGCTCAGTTCATCGTCCCAGCTGCAGTACTGGCCCCACGAGAAAGTGAACACACACGTTGTTATGTAACTTGGTGTAGTTTTTGTTTAGCTAAAAAATGTCAAGACGAAAGGAGAATACTGCTGCTCTCGTAGTGTAGGTCAGGTTGTGCGAGAAAGATGGATTAAGAAAAGGACTCTGTCACTCGTTACTAGCAGCATCATTCACTTTAGGAGGTGCACCTCACACTAGAGCCCTGTTCTTCTCACACACACTACTGCACCGGACATATGGGGACGTGCATTCACAAATAAATAGGAATTAACTAGATTAATATAGAGCAGTATGTGTAAACACTGTCTATAACACTGGAAAACTCATCAATCATGAGACTCAATCCAGTGTCTGATAATCTTTCTTTCTTTCTTTGTCCAATTGAAAAGAAAATGCTTGTATATAAATACACGCACATATTTAAAGCTGCAATCGGTAACTTTTTTTGAGTTTAAAAATCATATAATCCATTTTCCAAACCGTGTTTTTGTTTTATCCTGAATCACTACGGTACACTGTTATTTTAGACTGGCGACTGCGGAGTAGCCCGATATCTGCGTGATTGGACATAAACAGAGAAATAACTAGTATTATTTGATTTCTGATACATTAAAGATTTCAAAATAAGTGTTGATTTGTCACTTTCTGCACCGTTGAAAGCACATGAAGAGATTCACTACTATAGTTCCAGTCATTTTTAATTGTGATTTAACTGAATAGATGTGTTTTATTCCCCGTTTCTGGTTTAGGAAGCTCAGACCACTTTATAAACATGATGATTTGAAGGTTGCACAACAGTTTGTTCAGTATCTGATCAAAACCGAAAGCAGAGCTCATACTTTTAATGATCTGAAGGAAAACATTTTTATTGTACACATTTGGCCTCTGCCAGATATCCAAGCAATGTTGCATTTAAAGATGTGTTTTCAAATGTACCAATTGTGTGAACTGCACAAAAGTCTTTCCTTTCAAGCCTAGACACTAATAGGAAACTCTTGGTGTTCTTCATGGCAGCTATCTTGAAGCGTATAGTAAATAACTGTCATATTGTTTTGAATGTTCGGCTTGAAATGTTTTAATTGCAATCATCACAGTCTGATTTATTTTGATGGTTCGGTTCGTTACGGAGTTGCTTTGTGCTAATTGGCTTAGCAATGATTTGCTCAAGAGCCGTGACGACAAAGCAAATTAGCAGCTACTTCCAAAAGGCTGTAGCCTCCCTTCATTAAGTGCCATTTAATGAGTAACAGTGGATGGCCCGTGCTTGTGGTTCCATAGCGTTTCATGGTCCTCCTGTCATCAGTGTCCTATTGGGGCCCTTGAAAAAGCAAAGAACACTGGCCAGTTTTGGGTTGGCAGGCTTCATACATGGTGCCACTCTCTGGGAGGAAATGACTTGTGCTTGTATGTGGCTTCCTGTGAGCGGGTCAGAGGACGACAGCCTACAGAGAGACAACATCTGCCACACTGACATTGTGCCAGCACTCCACCAGAGCTGCTACTGACAACTCTTCCTTTCACACCAGGCATTTACAAATAACCTTATTGAGTTCTTTGCTTATTTGTAGATATGCACAATATGCCAACTTTTGGTTATCCATTTCATTTGAAAGTCTAAAAACTGTCCAAGGGCATTTTTCTAAACTTGTTTTGAAAAAAAAAAAGAAGAAAAATACAATACTTTGGGAAATTAATTAAGAAAAAGATTTAAAATTGTTAATAAATCTAATAAATCACTTGAAAAGTGAAAAATGATATTTATTCTGTGCAAAGTACTCTAGTTAACATGAACTAAGAATGAACAATACAGCATTTATTCTACTAAATGTAGGGTATGTGATGTGCAAAACGGCCGGCAGATTTTGAAAATGCAGAACTCAAAAGGTCCTACCTTCTTTCCTCCAACGCTGACCCTGACTCCACCCATTCGAAGAACATGGACACGCAATCATGCATCTGCAAAACTCAGATGCGCGAAATTGCACTTACACTCTCTCTCTGTACCGGGAGATGGTTCTCGTTGCAGAACATGAAATCCACGGGGAGGAGTCGGATCCAGATCCGCCTCCTCCCACCTTACATACACCTAAACCTACCCAACTCCGCCCCCTAATCCCTAAACCCAACCCTAATCCTACCCATCTCCACCCCTTCGGTCTTGATCCGACTCCTCCCCGTGGATCTCATACTAGGTATTACTATGTACCGGGGCGACTTTCATTTACTGTGACTGGGTCACGAGCTTTGCGTAAGCACACCAAGAGGAGGGAGGGTGGTACAGCGTTTGATTGACACTGACTGTGTCCATTAATTCTAGGTGGTCTTGTAAATGATTTACTGGAGTTTTTCGAGTCCTGCCTGTTCCACAAATGATTAAAGGAGCTGTATGTAAGATTGTGGTCAACTGGTACTGCAATCAGTTTCAAATTACTGTAGAGTGGTGTATCCCCTCCCCCTCCACCTGACTGACCTGGAGGGTGGAGCATCAGACCAAAACACAACATGACAGTTGAGGGCTGCAACTTCACAATATCCTGGCCGGACTATTGTTGTCAGTGACATAAGTATTTGAAATGAACATGATTTCATAATGTCTAGTGACATATCAGGGCCATTTTATGATCATTTGAAATACATTTCTTACATACAGCTCCTTTAAATTGCTTAATTTTCATTTCAGTGCTTCTAGCAAGTGGGTTAGGAATAGGATTTCAAGTGATTTTGGAAAAAAAATGTCAAACAAGAAAAGCCCACCTTTAAGTTAATGTTAATTTTAACATGCAATTTTCGAATCAAAAGTTGTTTTTTTAATATTAGTTAATGCACTGTGAACTGACAAAGAACGACTGTATTTTTATTATTCTATATTTTTGTGTCCCTATATGATTATTATTTCTACAATTAGTCTTGCACTGTTTCACTTGTACAAACAGTGTCTTTACTATAATTAATGCAACACAGCAGTGCGCATGTCACATGCAGCTGGTTTGTTATATTGGCTAACCACACACACACACACACACTACTCGCTGTGATAATGCTACGCTGACCCACACATGCTGACAGGACATTTGCTCATTGTTATGGCAGCAGTTTCCATGGCGCTGTCACTACCAGTGAAGGAAACGTGATGAAATTGCCTGGATGTCTTCTCCTGTCCACAGCTCCTCATTCTCTCATAACAGCGACATCAACCACTGCGTACTTGGCATTCTGCTCCACGTTACGAGGAATCTGTGACGACGGTTCTGAGTCACTGGACTGGTATATAGACCATTTTACATCTTTAGGTTCTTCCTTACCAGTTTAATTTAGGCTACTTTACATGGAGGCATTAGTGGCAGAATGCTCGCTTTTGAAGGATCCCTCTTGACCTCTTGCGCTGTATCATCCCTGTCAGTCTGGTCAACTGCAGTTGGTTAAAGCCTGTTTCTGAGACGGGACGCCTGCTATTCTGCCTCACCCTGGCTGGACAGCTGTGTGTGACAGACTCGCGCTTCTTTCTTCAGCTGTCCCAACTTGCTGCCGCCTCACATTTCACGCTGCTTGTGTCAAGGTGAAAATGACTTCAAAAGATGACACACGTTCAGCTGCTGCTGGGATGGTGTGCATTGAACCGAGTTGTTTTTCTTGGCCCGTGTCATTATGTCCATTTGGAATTGAAAACAAAGTGCAAAATATGATTAATAATTGACTTGTATCAGCAATACAAAAAAAAAAATTGAAATGTTGCCATGGTAACTAAAGTAAAATAGGTTTAATTTGAAATTAAACGGAAATAAAAAAATAATAACAAAAGCACAACATAATTACTAAACTTAAATTGAAATAAACTTAAAATATTAAAACTAATGCAAATATAGAACACAACATTTATATAAATAATACTAAAATAATAACACAACTGTAGTATCATTTTCAATGAATTGTGTTAACTGGATCATTTTAATACTGGTAAATGAATCAACACAGAGTGGGCAAAATAATCTATGATATTATTGCATTATTATAATATTGATATTAAATGTATTATTATTAATTTATTTGTAATATTTGGTAAGATCCATTGAAATGTATTTGATAGTAAATATTATAACACTGAGAATTTTGAGTTTGTTGATCATTTAATAGTGTTATTAGTAATAAAAAAATAACTTTCACCAACACATCAATCATTTCACCAAAATAAAGAATTCCTTTCTAGGTTCCTGAAAGTGTTGAAACAAAACCAGTACAATAGCTGGTGACTCACTTAACATACTCAGGTTGATGCACTGTATAAACAGTTTTTTTTTATTTTATATAAACAATGTATTGCATGTTTATCTCTTTTAGGGGACTCCTTCACACAGTTCAGGTTCTCTGATGAGAAGGACTGGGACATGGACTCGCTGGCAAAAAATCAGGTGCATAATCAGTCATTTCAGTCAAGTCACCCAATATTAAGATTTGCTTGTATGTTTTCCAGTGCAATTATTGTGTTTTTTGAGGGTTGATTGTGACTCCAGATTCCAGCTCTTTTTGTTGACCTGCCAGCTTTAACTCAGTCACTTCAAGAGCTTCCACTGCACACCAGACTGAACCTGGAGGCTGAGCTTGTTCAGGTAAAGCCATTGTTTTTTTTTGCTGAAATACTATGAAATGCTACTAGTAAAGTATGATGTACTAGAGCTTTAATATGCTTCAGGTGACAACTCCTGTTGAACTGCCGCCCGTGACAGTCCCTCACAGAACCGACTCGACACTGACAGCTCCTCAGGCAAGCCGAGAGTCAGGCCTGGGCATTTCCTGCAGTGTAAAGCCTGTTTCAAGTACCACAGCGTCACTCGGTGTCTCCACAGCCGTCCCTGCGGCCGCTGATGATGCTGACCAGGAGCTCGACCTTCTCCTCAGCTTGCAGAGACCCGTCACTGAACTTTCTTCAGTACAATCCCACGCTACGACAGAAGATGATGTGCTGAACACCCCAACACAAGGTATCCAAATCAATTGCTATATTTTGGTTATTTTTTGTTCAAATCAATTGATGTATTTTGGTTCTTTTTTTTGTTAAACAGTGTTGGAGGGTATTATAACTAACTAAACATAGTGACTTTCAGTGACAAATTAACTAAGTAGCTTAGTGTTTGGAAATTAGATTCATTTTAGTGAGACATTTCATTTTCACAGTTCATGTAAAATTCTCAGTTCAAGCTGAATTTTGCCAAATTATTTTAATCCCAGTGTTTTTTTTTTTTTTTTAGCTAAATATTTTATTTTTCACTTTATAAATAAGGTCAGTAAGATTTTTGTGGGAAAAAAAAATATTACTTTTATTATTAGTGACACTTTACATTGATCAAAAGTGACAGTAAAGTGTTCTTTTCAACTTTCTTATCAAATAATCCTAAAAACTAAAATTGAAGTATCAAAAACTGTTTTCAACATTAACTGGAGACTGAAAATGCAGCTTTACCATCACAGGAACAAATTACATTTCAAAATATATTCAAATACAAAACGGTTCAGTACTTTTTTTCTTACTGTATTTTGATCAACGAAATGTTTTTTTTTTTTTTAACATTAGCATATATAACTTAGTCTTTTTTTTTTGTGTAAAATTCTACCTGTATTCTATTGCAGAATGAAAATATCCTCTGATACACATATAATCCTTAAATACTTGTAAAACGTTATCTTGAGTTCCGATTCTGTTGAACTATCACCTTGTGCTTCGATCTTCTAGGTTTGCAAGTTATAGATTCAAAGTAGCTTCCTGAACATGGTGTAAAAATGTGATTTTTTTATCATCTCAACAGGTTCACAGGAAGAAGATCAAACTGTTGTTATGAAAGAGACAAAGCCAGAAGTGCAGAGTGAACCTGAACCCACGAGGCAGGAAGTGACAGAAGAGGATCTGGAGGACTGGTTGGACAGCATGATCTCCTGACTTGAGAGAAGCACTTTCTCCCTGCTGACTGACACAGCTGTGAATTAAATCAGCACATGCAGCTTTAGTAATGCTGACACCGTTACTTCTGTGTGGATGTGCACATCATGCTCGGACACTTCGTGAAGTCATAAGATAGCCGGGACTAATTCGGTCATGTGGAATATAAAATGCTCCATCAATATATAACTCCTAAAAATGCTGATGTAATGCCATGTAACAGTTTTCAGACGCAACATATTCTCACTCCTCAAATGACTCAATTTCATTCAGATTAAATGCAGCTATGGCCAGCTGGGATTTATTGCATTAGCTACTTTATTTTCGTTCCCCCTGCTCAAAACAAATGCAAATCACCAAAGCCACGACATACATATAAATGGCCATAGAATAGCAGTTTACAGTATTGACTGTTCAATACATTTGTTAATCATTTTTGTCCTTGAATATAGATTTCCATTGTTTTGCAATCGTACTTCATAAATGATCAAGCAAACACGATTTCAGTTATTGAACCGTAACCAAACATTTTTTTTAAAAAGCAGTGATTATCTTTACTTATGAACCATCAACTAAAGCTACAAAACTACTAACCCATGTGAGACTGTCAGTGAGAGTCTAAACTCAAACGCAAACTAGCAAATCATACGTGCGGGAACCAAATGTTTGCATAGTCTCTTGTCATAAGGCACTTTGCTGTATGAGAAACATCTAGTGGACTGAAGCAGATGATCTTTATATTTCTCATTCTACCAGTCAGATTACCGTCTTTAAAGGCATTGCACATTCTTCATAGTATTTTTTGTCATTGTTTGTTTTGAAATCAAACAGGCATACATTGTGTTTGGCACTCAAAAGGTATTCTTGTGCATATTTGTGTAGACGTTCATTCAACACATCAAAAACATATTTATGGTAACATCTCATCTCACAACTTCATGTGCATTTGTGAGTTAAGCAAATGAGGCAATTTACCATGTTGGTGTTTTTTTTTTTTTTTTTTTTATCAAACATGGCTTGTGTCTTAATTTGGCAATGTGTGCTACATGTTTTTTTGTCTTTTTTTCTCAATGTTGTACTTGAGTTCACATTTTTGGCTTGATCACAATGAGTTCTCGGTATGTCGCTGTCATTTCTGGTGGAGAAACAGCTGAGGTTTTTTTTGTTTGTATGAATCGGTGAGCAGCATTAGATGAGAGCGAGTTTAGGATGTTTTTTTCCAACCTACATAAGATCCTAAAATCCATTTAGGAGCTCATGTAGGTTGAAGCATGTGACTTCTCTCATGTTTGGACTGAGGACAACAGTATTGTCCTCTAGCCCAGCAGGTCCTCGTATTGCTTCCGGAAACAGTCTCCAGCAGGGAAGAAATCCCAGCACCTCTCCTGATACATCTTCCAAACATACGACTCCTGTAGTAAAAGGATAGAGAAGTAATGTGATATAATTTATGAAATAAAATATACACAACCGTTCAAATGTTTAGGGTCAGTCATTTTACTTAAAAAACAAAACAAAAAAAAACTTTTTATTAAACACGATAATGTTAAAAAAAATTCTTATAAATGCAGAACTTGGCTATTCTATTCATCAAAAGTCATGGAAAAAAATTATCACAGTTACCGAAAAAAATTGAGCAGCACAACTGTTTTCAACACAGATAATAAGAAATATTTAGTGAGCATTCATTTGTATTCAAATGTAAAACGTATTATACTGTTGGGTCATATTTGGGTCACTTTTCCAAAACTCTTCACACAGTTCTTCCAACCAACTTTCAACTTGGGACAGTAGTTGATTTCACATTCAAAATTCTCTAAAACCACCAAAACACTTTTGTTTTTCAAGTCATGTCTCAATTCAATTAATTCTCCCATAACATAAGCAAAGCATTAGCAAATTGTTAAAAAAATAAAAATAAATTCTACTACCGTTAAATAGAATTCATTATAGTATTTTACATTGAATGCATTTTGTGCCAAAGCAATGATAAATAATCCAAAGTTTAGCCTATTGACAGCTGTTGTGAGCATCGTGTGAAGAGTTTTGAAAAAGTGTTGAGATTTATCCTATAAATTGTAATACTATTTCACTGTATAGCCTTGGTGAGCATAATACTTTTTACAAAAACAAAACAAAAAAAATCTTACCAATTCTAATACATTTGAACAGTCACATGATTTTATATTACATTTAATATTAAAATAGATTAGTAAATTACCTGACCAGTGTATTCAGTCTCATCTTTGTTGATAAGGTACATCAGGAAGAATCTGTAAAATAGGAAAATTTGAATTTGTGATTTTGTGTTGACTTGATTATAAAGGAAGCATTCTAACTATAAAAAGGTTGCCATCAGATGGCATACTGTGTGTTCATGTTAGTTGTAGTATGTCGTACAGATGATTTACTCACAAATAGTTGGCTAGATTGTGCTCTTGTAAGGTATGGGTCTCAAAACCATGCGGGATTCTGTCAAAGTAGTCATTCCCGATTCCACAGATGAAGCATTTTGTCTAGACCGAAGACAAAACGTTAAAACCGGAACAAACTGTACTCTTTTTAGACTTCACAGGAGGACATGTGACATCACTCACCTCCATGTCCTCTTTCACCTGCTCCTGCTGGTCTCTCAACTCGCCGAAGGCATCAATGATCAAACCTGGTTTGAAAAATGAAAGCGTTCACTATTATATTGATGTTCTGAAGATAAGAATATTGAGTGTGAGGTTATGATCAGTTACATAGTGCTATTCAAGAGCAGCGTTAACATAAAGAGTTTAATGGAGCATGTAAATCAGTGCAGTAGTACCCTGAATGATGGCCAGCAGAATGACAATGACGAAGAAGAAGAAGGTGATGTCAAACAGAATGCGGTAGAGCTCGTAGGGGTCACCGGCCGGGTCCACGAGTTCATCACCGATGCCACCGCCAGCCCTCACACCCACATACATGTGGAACAGGTAGCACTGAGGATTCATGGGATCTATTTTAGTTATTAATAATCTAGCAATGCAGTTTGGGCACACACACACACACTTCTGTTTGTATAATTTTCTATAGTCAAGACTTAATAATTTATTTTATATATATAATAAATGATTAACTCCTGACTATAATAGACTGCATTAATGTCTGAAATATGACCAAGATGACATCCAGATCAGACTGAATCCACATTCAAAACATGAACTCACAGTCATCATATCATCACACTTCATGTCAGGTGCGTCCTCATCCTCGCTCTTGTTGTAGAACTTGCGGAAGAAGTTAAAAGCCACTACAGTGTACAGGTAGACCACGACAGCTAGAAGGCCCACGGTCAACACCAGCTGTTCAAATCAAGAAATCAAATCAGATTTGAAGTGTTTTGGTGGTAAATCTGTCCTGCAGTCACCCCCTGCTGGATGACACTTGCCTGTTTGCCATTGTGAGTCACAGAAGACAGGATGGTCCTCAAGGTCTTAAAGCCCATCGCAATGTCCAGCAAATGAGCAGCAAAGAAGAAGTTATTGTAATGCCCCAGAATCGACATGGTGGTGTACCAGATCAGGTAGAGGTAAGACTAGAGATGAAAGACAAAACATTATCGTCCTGAAATAGGATAATCTTCCTACCATTCTCAAATCTGATCCATACTCACGTTGTCCGTCATCACCACCCCCATTTTCCAAATGTGGTACTTGGTATCAATGGAGCTCAACCTGCAATTGAAACCAAAACATGACTGAATACCTTAATGTTCCTTAAAACCGAATGTTTGTGGGTCCTGTCAGCTCACCAGGACAGCAGGGAGGCTTCCTTCACCACGGCCTCTTCGGTGGGATCAAAGTCCAGAGCGCTCTTATCCAGACCCAGGAGTTCAGCTATGCGCTCAGCCCCGTACAAGTCACCGTATTTATTGATGACCTAAAGAAGACGGTGGAAATTGTGGAATACAAGCACTGTAAAAGAGTAACATCAAAAGTTTATTGTGATTCTGCTTACCTTCCTCTTAACAAATTTGTCCCAGTAATTATTAGGGAAGGACCTGAAACACAGGTAAGTTAGTTTTTAAAGGAAAAAATCCAGTAATAATGGATGTTAACAGATGCATGACAATAATTAATGTATGATCTGAAGGATTAATGGTTTGTTTCTTAATCACTGTTTCTTTTTAAATGCTATCAAAAGTATTAAAGTAAATCATATTTTTTTTAAATGCTGTTTAAAATAGTTTTGCATTGTACTTTTGATTGAAAAGTAAAATGTTTCTTTATGTTGACTGTTTATGACATTGTGAAAATGTTTCCATGCATTTTTATTGTAAATTCAAAACCTCTAGATTTTGAATTTTTAAAGAAATTAATTGAATATGTCCTTGCTGAATAAAAACAGTATTAATCGAAAGTGACGGAACATTTGTGTCACAAAAGATGTGGTATGTGTATGTACAGTATGTGGTCCTCAATGCTATAGAAAAAATAATATTTTTTGAAACGCTGACACTCTAATGTAAATGTAACATAAGGGACTGAATAAAAGGCCCTGTTTACACCCTGATATTAAGATGCTTTTGGTTGATCGGACCACAAGTGGATGATGCAAAATACAGGTATACACGGGGAAGACAACTCAGCTCTGGAAGGGTCCCATGGCCCTCTATCAGAATCCAGAGTTTCAAGAAGATTGGAGAAACTTATTTTTTCACACACAAAAAAAAACGACAGGGGTAACACTTCAAGAAGATCAGAGTTTCTCTGATCTTCTTGAAACTCTGCATTCTGATAGAGGGCCATGTGACTTAGACCTGAATGCAAAAATGGAGGCTCACTCTAGAGCCTCAATTTTTGCACTCAGGTTTAAGTCTCATGGCCCTCTATCAGAATACAGAGTTTTGAGAAGATTGGAGAAACTTATTTTTTCGCCCGAAAAAAAAAAAAACGAAAGGGGTACCACTGTCGTTTTTTTTTTTGGGTCGAATTTTTGAGTTTCGATATCTCAGCTCTGGACGGGGCTAGAGCCTCCATTTTTGCACTCAGGTCTAAGTCTCATGGCCCTCTATCAGAATCCAGAGTTTGGGAAGATTGGAGAAACTTAATTTTTCGCCCAAAAAAAAAAACGTAAGGGGTACCACTGTCGTTTTTTTTTCGGGCCGAATTTTTGAGTTTCGATATCTCAGCTCTGGAAGGGGCTAGAGCCTCCATTTTTGCACTCAGGTCTAAGTCTCATGGCCCTCTATCAGAATCCAGAGTTTTGGGAAGATTGGAGAAACTTAATTTTTCGCCCGAAAAAAAAAAACGTAAGGGGTACCACTGTCGTTTTTTTTTCGGGCCGAATTTTTGAGTTTCGATATCTCAGCTCTGGAAGGGGCTAGAGCCTCCATTTTTGCACTCAGGTCTAAGTCTCATGCCCTCTATCAGAATCCAGAGTTTGGGAAGATTGGAGAAACTTAATTTTTCGCCAAAAAAAAAACGGTAAGGGGTACCACTGTCGTTTTTTTTTTCGGGCGAATTTTTGAGTTTCGATATCTCAGCTCTGGAAGGGGCTAGAGCCTCCATTTTTGCACTCAGGTCTAAGTCTCATGGCCCTCTATCAGAATCCAGAGTTTTGGGAAGATTGGAGAAACTTAATTTTTCGCCCCCAAAAAAAAAAACGTAAGGGGTACCACTGTCGTTTTTTTTTCGGGCCGAATTTTTGAGTTTCGATATCTCAGCTCTGGAAGGGGCTAGAGCCTCCATTTTTGCACTCAGGTCTAAGTCTCATGGCCCTCTATCAGAATCCAGAGTTTTGGAAGATTGGAGAAACTTAATTTTTCGCGCCCAAAAAAAAAACGTAAGGGGTACCACTGTCGTTTTTTTTTCGGGCCGAATTTTTGAGTTTCGATATCTCAGCTCTGGAAGGGGCTAGAGCCTCCATTTTTTGCACTCAGGTCTAAGTCTCATGGCCCTCTATCAGAATCCAGAGTTGGGAAGATTGGAGAAACTTAATTTTTCGCCCAAAAAAAAAAACGTAAGGGGTACCACTGTCGTTTTTTTTTCGGGCCGAATTTTTGAGTTTCGATATCTCAGCTCTGGAAGGGGCTAGAGCCTCCATTTTTGCACTCAGGTCTAAGTCTCATGGCCTCTATCAGAATCCAGAGTTTTGGGAAGATTGGAGAACTTAATTTTTCGCCCAAAAAAAAAAAAACGTAAGGGGTACCACTGTCGTTTTTTTTTTCGGGCCGAATTTTTGAGTTTCGATATCTCAGCTCTGGAAGGGGCTAGAGCCTCCATTTTTGCACTCAGGTCTAAGTCTCATGGCCCTCTATCAGAATCCAGAGTTTTGGGAAGATTGGAGAAACTTAATTTTTCGCCCAAAAAAAAAAAAAAGTAAGGGGTACCACTGTCGTTTTTTTTTCGGGCCGAATTTTTGAGTTTCGATATCTCAGCTCTGGAAGGGGCTAGAGCCTCCATTTTTGCACTCAGGTCTAAGTCTCATGGCCCTCTATCAAATCCAGAGTTTTGGAAGATTGGAGAAACTTAATTTTTTCGCCCAAAAAAAAAAACGTAAGGGGTACCACTGTCGTTTTTTTTCGGGCCGAATTTTTGAGTTTCGATATCTCAGCTCTGGAAGGGGCTAGAGCCTCCATTTTTGCACTCAGGTCTAAGTCTCATGGCCCTCTATCAGAATCCAGAGTTTTGGGAAGATTGGAGAAACTTAATTTTTCGCCCAAAAAAAAAAACGTAAGGGGTACCACTGTCGTTTTTTTTTCGGGCCGAATTTTTGAGTTTCGATATCTCAGCTCTGGAAGGGGCTAGAGCCTCCATTTTTGCACTCAGGTCTAAGTCTCATGGCCCTCTATCAGAATCCAGAGTTTTGGAAGATTGGAGAAACTTAATTTTTCGCCCAAAAAAAAAAACGTAAGGGGTACCACTGTCGTTTTTTTTTTCGGGCCGAATTTTTGAGTTTCGATATCTCAGCTCTGGAAGGGGCTAGAGCCTCCATTTTTGCACTCAGGTCTAAGTCTCATGGCCCTCTATCAGAATCCAGAGTTTTGGAAGATTGGAGAAACTTAATTTTTCGCCCAAAAAAAAAAACGTAAGGGGTACCACTGTCGTTTTTTTTTTCGGGCCGAATTTTTGAGTTTCGATATCTCAGCTCTGGAAGGGGCTAGAGCCTCCATTTTTGCACTCAGGTCTAAGTCTCATGGCCCTCTATCAGAATCCAGAGTTTTGGAAGATTGGAGAAACTTAATTTTTCGCCCAAAAAAAAAAAACGTAAGGGGTACCACTGTCGTTTTTTTTTCGGGCCGAATTTTTGAGTTTCGATATCTCAGCTCTGGAAGGGGCTAGAGCCTCCATTTTTGCACTCAGGTCTAAGTCTCATGGCCCTCTATCAGAATCCAGAGTTTTGGGAAGATTGGAGAAACTTAATTTTTCGCCCAAAAAAAAAAAACGTAAGGGGTACCACTGTCGTTTTTTTTTTCGGGCCGAATTTTTGAGTTTCGATATCTCAGCTCTGGAAGGGGCTAGAGCCTCCATTTTTGCACTCAGGTCTAAGTCTCATGGCCCTCTATCAGAATCCAGAGTTTTTGGAAGATTGGAGAAACTTAATTTTTCGCCCCAAAAAAAAAACGTAAGGGGTACCACTGTCGTTTTTTTTTTCGGGCCGAATTTTTGAGTTTCGATATCTCAGCTCTGGAAGGGGCTAGAGCCTCCATTTTTGCACTCAGGTCTAAGTCTCATGGCCCTCTATCAGAATCCAGAGTTTTGGGAAGATTGGAGAAACTTAATTTTTCGCCCAAAAAAAAAAACGTAAGGGGTACCACTGTCGTTTTTTTTTCGGGCCGAATTTTTGAGTTTCGATATCTCAGCTCTGGAAGGGGCTAGAGCCTCCATTTTTGCACTCAGGTCTAAGTCTCATGGCCCTCTATCAGAATCCAGAGTTTGGGAAGATTGGAGAAACTTAATTTTTCGCCCAAAAAAAAAACGTAAGGGGTACCACTGTCGTTTTTTTTTTCGGGCCGAATTTTTGAGTTTCGATATCTCAGCTCTGGAAGGGGCTAGAGCCTCCATTTTTGCACTCAGGTCTAAGTCTCATGGCCCTCTATCAGAATCCAGAGTTTTGGGAAGATTGGAGAAACTTAATTTTTCGCCCAAAAAAAAAAACGTAAGGGGTACCACTGTCGTTTTTTTTTTCGGGCCTTTTTTGAGTTTCGATATCTCAGCTCTGGAAGGGGCTAGAGCCTCCATTTTTGCACTCAGGTCTAAGTCTCATGGCCCTCTATCAGAATCAGAGTTTTGGGAAGATTGGAGAAACTTAATTTTTCGCCCAAAAAAAAAAAAACGTAAGGGGTACCACTGTCGTTTTTTTTTTTCGGGCCGAATTTTTGAGTTTCGATATCTCAGCTCTGGAAGGGGCTAGAGCCTCCATTTTTGCACTCAGGTCTAAGTCTCATGGCCCTCTATCAAATCCAGAGTTTTGGGAAGATTGGAGAAACTTAATTTTTCGCCCAAAAAAAAAAACGTAAGGGGTACCACTGTCGTTTTTTTTTTCGGGCCGAATTTTTGAGTTTCGATATCTCAGCTCTGGAAGGGGCTAGAGCCTCCATTTTTGCACTCAGGTCTAAGTCTCATGGCCCTCTATCAGAATCCAGAGTTTTGGAAGATTGGAGAAACTTAATTTTTCGCCAAAAAAAAACGTAAGGGGTACCACTGTCGTTTTTTTTCGGGCCGAATTTTTGAGTTTCGATATCTCAGCTCTGGAAGGGGCTAGAGCCTCCATTTTTGCACTCAGGTCTAAGTCTCATGGCCTCTATCAGAATCCAGAGTTTTGGGAAGATTGAGAAACTTAATTTTTCGCCAAAAAAAAAACGTAAGGGGTACCACTGTCGTTTTTTTTCGGGCCGAATTTTTGAGTTTCGATATCTCAGCTCTGGAAGGGGCTAGAGCCTCCATTTTTGCACTCAGGTCTAAGTCTCATGGCCCTCTATCAGAATCCAGAGTTTTGGGAAAATTGGAGAAACTTAATTTTTCGCCAAAAAAAAAACGTAAGGGTACCACTGTCGTTTTTTTTTCGGGCGAATTTTTGAGTTTCGATATCTCAGCTCTGGAAGGGGCTAGAGCCTCCATTTTTGCACTCAGGTCTAAGTCTCATGGCCCTCTATCAGAATCCAGAGTTTTGGAAGATTGGAGAAACTTAATTTTTCGCCCAAAAAAAAAACGTAAGGGGTACCACTGTCGTTTTTTTTTTCGGGCCGAATTTTTGAGTTTCGATATCTCAGCTCTGGAAGGGGCTAGAGCCTCCATTTTTGCACTCAGGTCTAAGTCTCATGGCCCTCTATCAGAATCCAGAGTTTTGGAAGATTGGAGAAACTTAATTTTTTCGCCCAAAAAAAAAAACGTAAGGGGTACCACTGCGTTTTTTTTTTTTCGGGCGAATTTTTGAGTTTCGATATC